TGAGCCGCAATGTTCTTCCGGATAGGTGCCAGCATCCGTGCAACAACAGGGCCATCTCTCGTAGCACCTCCCAGACTTCAATGTCCGGTACGCCAGCTATACGCCGCTTGATATCAACAACTCTTTTATTTCTCCTCCGGTCCGCCGTTATTGGGACCGAATCGCCCGTACACGCTGTGGAATAGATTGGGAAGGATATTGATTGCTTTCAATCGCAATCTGACGCCAAAGCTTGGGCGGCATAAAGTAGAACAAAAACGCCAACGGGTCTTCAGCAACTTTAAGAACACTCGTTGGTGGTCCATACGGTCCATCGTACAGGTCCTTGGACGTGGGGTCTTCACCAAATCTGACATCAACAGAACCATCATTATGTAAGCCCTTATATTGGATGTCCCGGTCCGCACGCACAATTTTGCTGGGCTTGGTCAGCACAGCGTACCGTACTCCCACCCAGTACTTTTCATTGAATTGATAGCTTCACTGTTTTTTGCTACTGACGACCACACAGACGCAGAAAGCCCCTCATGTTCTTCATCAGTACGGTACAACATAAAATACATGCTGCATACTAGGACGTATTCGACTTAGACTGGGAATACTTAGAACAGGGGAAGAGAGTATCGAGGAATGATAGGAAACGACTATCTAGACTTGTTTGTTCTAAGATTGAGATAAATGGATGAGGTCAAAAGACTGAGAACCGCAAAATTGATTCATTAACGAATTAGCACGATGCCGCGTACTACGGGAAAGTATCCTGCTATGGCGAAAATGACGAAAAAAGAGTTGACAAAAATGGCAATTAAAATGATTTCGGATGATCCTCAGCTTAAAGGACTATGGTTGGGTGAGTCAGCGGCTAAAGTGGTGAAGGAGCACGTGGTTAGTATGGAGAAGCGGAGTGAAGAGGAAATGAAGAAAGTGTTGCACAAGGTCTTGTATGCACTCCGAGCAAATACGAAACGCGCGAAGTCACACGAAAAACACTGGAAGCTAGCGAAAAACCACCGTATTTGTACGAAGCGCAAGTAGTCGAGCTGCACACGCTGTTAATGCAGCTTTGTCAACATTGCTTGTAACCAAGATAGTCGCCTCATCCATCCATGCATGGTCTTCCTCAATTTCCTGGGCCGTAAGCTCATTGGTTATAGCATCAGTATCATCGTTGAGCACTTGAAAATCGTTGTCTGAATTAGAATTTTCAAGATACGCTGGTGGAAGGGTACGAAAACTGTCGAGAATGTGTTGCTGTACGGGACAACTGTGTGCCCTCTGCTGAGGCTTGAGGAAAAAAAACTCTGAATTTCCTAAAAAGGTTGCGCGCGTAAATGATAGTGGCGTTTGCATTCAGTCTGTACATTGCCTTGCACAAAGGTGTTCCCATTAATCCTTCTAGCTGCAAGAAGTCTCCAGCCTGATGACAGCATAAGTTGCAGCTTAGTACAATGTAAAAATTTAAAATGAAGTAACAAAACGTACTCACAACATCGATTTATCACCAAACGGTAGATCAGGATTCTACACGAGTGTTAGCCGCTTGTAAATCTTTACAGCAAATTCGCTCCCAAGCATTGAAATTTCATCGGTCACAATAAGTCGAGCTGACGAATCAAATTTTTGCGTAAGTCTGCTAGTTTAGCAGCAGAGCTTCACGACCAACCTTAAATGCAGCATGACATGTTTGTCCACCTGGAAATTGGCTGGCTGCAGCTCCAGTTGGGCATGTAATCACGATTTGTTTTCGTCGTTTTACGAGTTCTTCTCGGAGTTTGTGAATGACGAACGATTTTCCATTGCCAGCCCCTCCGTGCATATGCGTTAATGTTTGCTGAGGTAAAGGCTTGTCTATGTTCGTCAAAACACAATCGATTATTTCTTGTTGTTCGCGCGAAGCGGGCTTCGCGTCTAGTACAGCAATGGGATTGGTGCCGGTTAGTGGATCAGCAACCGTACCATTTCCAAGTACATGCAACGGTTCCAGGGCAGGTGTACACAAGATTTGACTACGTGAGGGCATTTTCTGGATTTTCTGCGCAACAGCTTGAAGACTTTGTTGTGGACCGCTAAGTACACTTTCTTGATACACACAGCTTCGCAAATTGGATATCGGTAGCACGTTTCCATTTTCAGGTGGCTGTTCATCGGCGTTGTCAACACCCATGAGCGAAAAATACATTGACTGGAGTGCCTTGATACTGTCGCGATGGTTAGGATTTCCTAATGCCGCAGCTCTTGTCCACCAATACAAATTTTCGTCCCCTCCGGGTAGAATGCCGTCGGTCTCGGGTTCAGACACATCTCGACCGCGACGCTGTTTTGGTTTCATGACATCGAGGTTTTCCACTGCACTATCCTTCCACTGGGTATCATTTCTTGCCCTCCATTCCAAGCACATTTTCTCATCATCAGAACTTCGAACTCGTTTTTGAATAAATTTATCAACTTGTCGATATCGTTGTCTCATCAGAAAGGAGACGGAAGATAAATCCCACAATTTGCACAATTTTCCTCGACCGTACGTGTTGAGCTCGAGCTGTGGTCGTCCGTTGTGGTTCCAGAAAGCAGCAACAGAGATAATACATCTTGCAAATGCATCCTTCTTGACGTTATCACGAGTCTTAGGGAAACAAGATGGCGTGATCATTGCAGTGTTTTCCAGAGAGAGAGAATTCCAGGTCAAAACATTGCGCTGGGGCTATACAATTTTTCCTATTTGACTCAGATCTGGAAGCGACTCGCAACGGCCATAATCATGTCCATTCGCAAAACTAAATTTGGATTTACGCGGGTTGTATGCGCACTTTGAGCATAGACGAATACGCCCTGTATCACGAACTAACTCGGGATTACGGAAATAAAATTTACCACTAGGTTGTTGAAACACTTGCACATATCTGCTCAAAACTTCGTGTGATAGATGCCCGTAACGTTTCGCGTATTCTTCTTCCGATATTTGAAACGTTTTGGATAAGAGTGACAAAGGTAAACATACATGACTGCTGTTTGGTCCAATCAAAATTCGCAACACGATGCGCACGCAAAAATACTGCCTCGTGACGGGTCAGCGGCTGCTGCAGATGCGTAACAACGTTCGTATTTTTGTGCATCAGGAGGCTCGTCCATTGCATTCGCCAGTCTCTCTTTCACTGATTCATCTTCCCGGACGTGCTCATTATTAAAACCAAATGCATCTGGCTGGCCACCACAACAGTAATAGTACACCAGCGCCAATCGTGGATCATTCGTAAAACTTTGGCCATTCATCATCAATATGATTTCTTCTTCAGAGATTGTCTGCTTCTGCAATGTGGATTCAGCTAGACTGTGTAAGCGATCACTAGCCGTATCACCAATATCCAATCCACGTGTATTTGGCTCGTCACTTGTACCTGTAATCTCGATTCCAGCTTGTTTTTTTTCATATCCACCCGATATCTTCTTATGTTGTCTGCTTGCCGTTGCCTCCTTTGCTTTGTCTGCCCCATCTCGGGTACTTATGAAACAACTCGAGCAAGCTTGCGTGCTGCGCGGTATTCACGCATATATTGCGCTTTACGCCGCTTTCGTTACAATATCACATCACTTGATACTGACGATTGCTCACTCGTTAGTGGAATATCTGTCGTGAAAGCTTCGGATGCAGTACGATTGGCCATCTCCTCGACCACAACTCAGACCAGGAAAGAAAGTAGAACCCACCCTGCTGAAAAGCAAAAATCTCGGCCCCACTCCTAATGGTGACTCACACCCGGCAATAGACTAGTCCACCGGTCCAGGATCTCTGAACATCACCCCCAGGACAAGTCCGTCGAGTACACGCGGCGCTGGAACCCAATATCCCCTGCTACTTGTTACTGACGAAAGCACGAATGAGGACTGACTTCGAGTGAGAACGCACATGACAGTTCTTGACTACGAATGCGGATGGTTCTTGACGGCAAGTCACTACTTATCTCTTTAAGCAAATTTAAAGAAATTGCTGAAAGTCGTACGAATGTTATCCCAGGTTACGCTGTGGAATTAATCCGATTGGGGCTGTCCATCCCTCATTATTCGGTATTCCCAGTAAAAGTGATCCAGGGTATACACCCCTTATGTTGTAGGGTCCAACATAACTGTAAGGGGTTAAAATCTAATTATAACAGAGATTTATTTGCAAAAATGAGACCACCCAAAACAAAATGATACCTACGAACCTAAGTACGAATCGCGATTTAAGCATTCTAAACGAAAGCGCGGTGTCTCCTCTATCTCTTGAGCCCTTATAAGCTACAGAATGCTTAAAACCGAAGAAGTTGTGGTCGCTCAAAAATATTATCTCCATTTAAAAGCCCTCGAAATGACGATACATTTAGGACTCAAAAAATTTCAATTTTAAAAATTCAAGTGCTATTTAAAAGCTCTTGTTAAAAGCAAGTAGTTTGACAGTTCTGTCGATTAAAGCTTTCAATAAATGTCACAGTTTCGGTTAAGTGCGAAAATCAATTGATCTTGATAATTCGTAAGGGCATCAAAACAGTAACCCAGTTAAAGCGCGCTATTGCTTACAATATTGTGAGCAAAGCGGTTTCAAATGGACAGGGTATCTTGTGCGAGATTTTACGCCTTCCGCCGTTCTTACGGTTTTGACACGGTTGCAGAAAACACGTTAATTCCGGTATCATTTTGTTGAAGCAGTCTCAAATGCATGCAAAGCACTACATGGTAACTCATTTACTAAATCATACTACATGTAGTATAGGCAATTTTACGAGATGATACTTCTATAAAAATGCAGAACTTCCCCGTGCAACAAGGCATTAGTTAACCAGACGGCTATATCGAAAGTTTTAACAAGCAGCGCCGCAGCTCGAGTATATGGCGGTAGTACATTTATTTTCCATTGACGCAGATTTAATGCTCAACCTGCATTTTCAAAAACTGCCTCGCCAACCTTGAACCGACGTGCCTGGACGGCCACCTTGCAACTTCTTCAGAATCTTTTTTTAACTGCATCGATGCCAACAGCGGGGGTTGTTGGGCGGCCGTCGACGCCTTGCGGTCTTCGTGGCGATCGCACCGCCTCGGGCTTACAAGTAGCGCCTTCGGTTGTCGAGTTCTCGGCTTTCGAACGACGTTCATGCTACGTTGCGACTTTCAGCGTCCGGAACGCCAGCGACCGAGTGTTGCGCTTCCGGTTGACTCCACCACCGCACGCTTCACCGTTTAAAGTTCTGCTACGGGGTCGAGACCTCGCGAGGACGGAGAACGCCACAGTCTCTTTGCCAGCAGGTCTCAGTGTCAAATACGACGTCACCTTCGAACTACCCGAAAGTGACGACGTTGCAGAACCCGAAATGGCCACCCCCGCTATCGTCCACGATGTATTGCACCTAAAAGGCGACGACGGCTCCTCTCTAGAAGTTCCGTTGCTGGCCAGACGTGCCTGTCCATTACTGGAAGTGACGCCGCCGCTGTGCGAACTTGGACTCGTGGTGCTGACTCAACGCTCGGCTCGGTGTGTCGAAGTGCTGAACTGTGGTGCCCGATCCGGAAGATTTGCAGTTGAGGTGCTGGATGCAAGTGACCATTCCACGAAAGCTGCGATCACAGTGTCACCACAACGAGGGACGCTGGAGCCATTGGAATCTGTGAATGTTAAGGTGGAAGCAAATGGACTGGAGACTGGAGACTTTCGAGGAATTGTTCGAGTTCGGATCTGGGAATTTCTAGAGGACGCAGAGGACGAGCATGCGAGTACAAATACAGCGCCATCTGCAGAGAAGATCGTGGACGTGTCGGGTAGCGTAGTGGAGCACACGGCCGAGCTGGTGCTACGGCAAGGACTGGAGCCAGTACATTCCTTGTTCTTTGGTTCGTTATTTGCAGGCGAGACGCGTACAATCGAGACGGTTCTAAGGAATAATGGGCCTCAACCTTTGTCGTTCAAGACTTCTGTCAGTTTTGGAGGCGCCGCAGGAGCGATCGAAGAAGATCGAGAAGTTTATGAACGACGCAAGGAACTTCGAATTTCTCCAGCTGATGGTCAAATCGACCCTTTTAGTGAGGCACCAGTGACGTTTACTTACCACCCACGAGCCAAAACAGTCGAAGAAATCCAGCGAATCGAACGCAAACAAGGACGTACAGCTCTAGACGATGGAGGCTTTGACAGTAGTCTTGACTTCACGCTGCTACCAGCCCCAGCTGAACCTTTAACAGCCTTTGCGTCTATCATCTGTCGCGAGCTACAAGCTCAAAATTTGACATTTGAAGTCTCCGCGAAGACGTTTATCCCTCGACTGCAGTTGGCACCTGTACCGCCTCTAGATTTTGGCGACGTGCGGTCCTATGATCGAGCAGATCTCTTATTATCTCTGAAGAATTTATCAGGACTCCTAGTGCGCTTTGAAGTTCCCAGAGGCGTGGCGCATTACTCTGTCAGCCCACGTTCTGGCCGCTTGGATGTGTTGCAGTCTCAGAGTCTCGTGGTGAGCTTCGCACCCACCCAATTGGGCACTTTCAACAGCCATTTGACCTTAAGGATCAATGACGGCGTGTTAGAAATCCCTGTGAAGGTTCTCGGTCGAGCTGCTGTGGTTGGCCCCGTGCCTCCTGTTAGCGGGCGACTCGTGGGTGGCCTCTTGGCGCTGCCGGCTGATTTCGCCCCAAAGTACAAATTTCTACTGCCAGAACAAGCCAAGCAAAGCAAGGGGAAACTATCCCGTCGATTCCTGCGTCAACCTCCGTACGAACTGGCGGCGTTGAATGGCACCGCTGCACTGGACGAATTTGAGTTCCAGGGGACAAATAACACGCATCTAACCTACTGCGTCAAGGAGCTGGCGCGACGCGCGGACCATCGAGCTGCGTATCATGACTATCTCGCTCACTGTCGAGCTCAGCGTGAAGCCAAAGCGAAAGGCTGGAAAGGGAAAGCTCAGAAACTAAAGAAACGCGTGGCTCAGGCTCGTGGGAACAACCAGGAAGACGACGCGAAAGACGTCGATCTGGGGATGGACAGAACTCAGCCTCAGCAGCTTCGACTGCCAAAATCGCTAGCTGGAGCCACCGATCCTCTGTGGCTAAGCCAGCACTCGACTGGGGGCCCTACAGGACAATCCAAGGCGTTTCTCGATGAGCTCAAACGTATCAAGAAGAAGTTCAAACCCGCGCCAGCCACACCCGCAGAGCTGGCGGATTGCGCTCGAACGTTGGAGTTTGACGAGCTCGAACAGGTCGTTTCCGGTCCGAAAACTTTGAATTTCGGTCGCTTGAGTGTCAACGGGAGTGCCACACGCTCTCTCACAGTGCAAAATAACCTTCAACACAACGTCCTTGTGAGTCTACACTTAGGAGGAGGGAAGGACGGAGCGTCAGGGGCACTGGAAGAGCTCGCGCGCAAGACTTTGCTGACGTCTCAGGTGGTTCCTCCGCATTCCAAGGCAGGGTTTGACCTGGTTTTCTGCTCTTCGAGAGAGCAATTCTTCCAGCAGAGTCTCACGTATTCCATCAATGGCACCCACCCGCGTCAAGTCACAACTGTCGCTGAAGTGGCCCCCATCGTCGTGGAACTGGCACCTGAAGACTTACGCTTCGAGTTTGGCGCTCTGGATCTGAGCTCCTCGATAGCTCGTGAGGTTGTGATCACCAATACGTGCGACTCGGAAGCTCCATTTGTATGGACGCGTATGCCTCTGATCGCGACTCCTGATGGCTCCTCCCGACCCGAGTCGTCCAAGAGTAATGCCACCACTACAGTCACCACTATGACGATGGCTGAGCGACCTTCCAACGTCAATACTACGACCGCATTCGAGGTTCTTCCAGCCAGTGGCACGCTCGGACCGTCAGCTACCATGGTCTGTAAGGTGGTCTACACTCCTCCGTCCATGACCGGCGCTAACATGGCTGCGTTGGGGGTCACGCACAAGCATGGAGCCATGTGGCTGGCTCAGAGCTTCCACTTGAACGTCACGGGAGGCGAGAAAGGGTTTCTAAACTGTCGAGCGCTTCTCTCGGAGGCTAAAGTGGTGGCAAGAGACAGGAAAGTGGACTTTGGGACCATTTCCGTCGGCGTGGAGCGCGAGAAGAAAGTGTCTCTGGCCAACCTCGGGTTGCACACTCGCGCTGTCTTCTACGCCAGTATCGAGCCTCAATCGATGAGTACGACCATCGGACTGCACGTTTCTCCCGCTCAAGGCGTCGTGGACCCCCAGGAATCGACGGACGTCACTGTCAAGCTCTTCCCGCATCGTGCAATCTCGTTGGACGGGAGTAAGGAGGCGCAAGTGAATGTCATTGTGAGTATACGTGGCGGTAAAGTTCGTCGGCTTCCGGTAACTGCGTCGGTGCTCGTCCCCGACGTTTTCCTCGCTCCTGCTGACGCTGTTGACTTTGGAGAAGTGGTGCTTGGGGTCTCGGTTCCTCGCGTGATTTCCATGGAGAACCACAGCTCCATCCCTGCGTGTTTACTGCTGGATCTCGGCGCATCCTTCGGCGAGTTCTCGTTATCTACGCCTACTCGCTTACTCGCCCACCTCGAAGACGCCAGCAACATCTTTGCGCCTTTAACTGACGACAAGTGGAGAGATGATGACGACAACGACGAAAGACTTTCCCCAAGTGACGCTCGCTGCTCCAAGTGGCAGATCTGCCTGCCTCCTCACGCCACAGTCTCGTGTCATCTCGTGTTCACTCCGTTGACAGAAGGCAGCCACGACCTCGTTCTCCCGCTTCAAATTGCTGGAGCTTCGATCGCCTCAGCGTCGCTAAAGCGTCGAGTCGTAGCCCGAGCGATTGTCCCTCGACTGCGATTCTCCGCTTCGTCGATGCACTTTAAGCGCTGCATCATCACGCGGGAAGGGATCCGTAAAGTGCCCTACACGAAGCAAATCGTTCTAACTAACGACGATGAGCAGACGATTCGATGGCACATCGACACGACTCGACTAAGACAAGGAAATCTCGTGCACTTCGCGGCTGGAGCGGCTGCTGTTGTGGCTTCTGGGGCGAGTTCCGGTGCGGCTTTAGCGAAGCGAATCGCCTCTGTGAACCCTTCCAACAGCGCGACGTCCGTTGTCTTCCACGTTGCTCCAGACAGAGGAGAACTGGCGCCAGGAGAACAAGTGACACTCCGAGTGAGTTTCTTGCCCTTGGATGCGGTCGAGTACGCGGACGACGAGTTGCCGCTCTTTGTTGACGGAGCGTTTTACGTGAATTTCAGCTTGAGAGGCGAAGGAATTTACCCCCATTTGTCATTTTCGACCAACCGCGTGGTGCTTCCAACTGTTCCCTTGGGAATGACGGCGAGTGCGAAGTTTCAAGTGTACGCTACGGGGTACGACCACTTGGAGTTGAACTGTCGAGTGCCGCTAGATACGTCGCGTGCCCCACTCACAGTTGCCTTCCCACGCGGGAAGACGCTGAGTATGGCGTGTCCGAGTCTGCCGGTTGAGTTGCGGTTCTGTGCGTCTTCCAGCGTGGCGTTCAACGCACGCGTTGAGTTTTTGGACGCTGATGGGAATTCCTTTGCGTTGCCAGTTGCAGGGTGCGCAGAGAATTGTTTGTTCACCAACTACAATTTCCTGACAACATACGGTTTAGCAGCAGAATTGAGTCAAGAGCTAAAGGGGTCTCCTCAACGAAAAGAATCGTCAAAACTGGAGCTTGAATCTGATGGCGCTCCAAACTCGAATCTAGAATTCCAGTTTTATACTCACGCTTCCGGCCACTTCCCTGTGTATCTGCTGCCCTCGAAACAAGCTCAAGTGGAGATCGAAAACGTCAAAGAAAACGCAGCAGCTACCGGTTTTGTGACGGTCGATCCGTCCCTGGGTCTTGAAGAAGAAGCGTCGACTTTTAGCTCTTCTATTCCCTTTTCAGATGGCGAGATCCAGTTGGTGCTGCAGTATCTCAATGCCAATTTCCTTCGAACGCCCGTAGCTCGATTCCCCGAGGATTTCGCTGACAATTCTGGCCGCCCATTGTACGAATTGCTGGACATGGTCTGCGTCAAGAAGCCAGGAGCTCCAGTCATCCCCAGTCTCGGAGGCAGCTCCACCAACAAGCGAAAGAACGCAGAAGCATCCAACTCGACGACAGGAACCAGCAAAGCGAATGCGTCGGCAGCTCAGCCTTCGAAGAAGGACCAACTGACTCAACTGACGACGCAATTCATGGAGCTACTGCGCTTCCTTCGCTCGTATGGGGCCATGGTGCATGATGTTTACCCCGAGCAATTATTGGCTCAAGAATTCTACCTACGCGCGTGTGAAAACCCTCAAGTCGATCCTGCTCTTCTCTCCTCTCCATCGCACGCTGCACTGCCGTTTGTCGCTAGGCGAAGGGCTCTTAAAAAAGAATGGCGCTCGGTGAGTACAACAGCGTGGATGAAGGTGATTTACCAGGTTATCAAGTGTTTTTTACTCTCTCGAATCACGTGGAAAGGGTATCAGATGCAGCTTCAAAGTGACGAGAGCTTTAGTGGAGAAAACACGGCTCGAAGTGACAAGAGAAAAGATGCAAAGCACACGAATGCCACCGGACGAGCGTGTCGAGGCAGCAACATTTACAGTGAAGCGGAGATGGTGTTGATCCAGTGGCTTTGTGACCGCGTACGTGCTCTTCACAAGCCTCAGCATGCACCGTTAGCGTCGCTAGGGGGTGCTCTATTAGAGACGCAGCTTGTGGATATTGGACGAGATTTACGAGACGGACGTTGGCTCTTTCACCTCATCGCAGCTCACATCCCCACGCTCTCAGTGGACCAAAGTGCTTACAATTGTTTCCGTTGGATGTCAGAGACCACCAGCTCTCGAAGGAGACCCCCTTCAGAGGCCCAATTACAGCATCAAGCGGCTGTTTTACTGCAGACACTTGGAGCTTTTGGACTGGACTTTGGCATGGATTCAACCCGATTTCTACGTGGATTTACGGGGCGAGAGATGCTGCTGCTACTGCTACACTTACAGCAGACACTGCCACAGTTTATACCGAAAGCGACGATTGAGTTTAAAGGTGGCTTAGGACAAGTTATGGAGAAAAGTATTGAGCTCAAGAATCCGAGTACGAAGCCACTACGGTACCACGTTTTCTTGGATAAAGGTGACCGAAATTCAGCTATTGGAACAGGAGCAGGTGGACCGGAGGCTGCTGCTAGTGAGTTCGCGATCGAGGCGAATGAAATTGTGCTCGATCCCGGGAAAACCGTCGCGTTTGCCGTCACTTTTCGTCCACGATTCTCTAGGAAACTCACGGCTCGGTTGGTTTTTCAAGCCGCGAGAGGAGACGCCGCTGGGTCTTCATCGATTGGAGGGGGAGGCGCTACGATGGTTTTCCTACTAGAGTCTAATATCGTGTCGAGAAAACCGGTTCGCATCATTCAGCTGGAGACCAAGACGTACGAGAAACGCGTGGAAGCAATTTTGATTGAAAACCAGTTCCCCACAAATGCAAATTTCAAATTATCGATGACACAATCGCAGTCAGGGACAGACGCTACGACTGGGATGGCTAACGCAGGGCCTGTTTTACCGTCTTCCCGGGGAGGAAATCGCCGTCGATCGGCCCAACCAGGGAGTCAAGGCTTTGGGATGAGCTCCGACGTCGCTGAAGTGGGACGTAAAAGGTCGACTATCTCTGGCAAAAATCGAGGTGAAGACGGGGATTTCTCGTGGTGCATTGCAGCTCAACAACCTTTCTATCTACCGGAATTCGGTACGTCCGGAAGCAGCAACAACAATGACGGAGGTGGGGGGAGTGGTGGGCTTTCAGCTCCAGTTCCTGGCCTCAGTGGAGCCTCAATCTCCATCCGGAAGAACGGATCTGCTAAGGTGAAAATCGAGTTCTTGCCTTTGGCTCCTGGGGCTTATCGCTGTCAGCTGCTCTTCTTGGACGAGAGTATCGGAGAGTTCCTCTATGAGATCCACGCCGTTGCTAACCTTCCAGCAAGTCTAGAAACACTGGAAATCCAATGTGAAGCGTCCACTACAGCAAATGCTACTGGACCTGGTGCTACTGCAAGGTTCCGATTTGCTCGAGAATTAACGATTCCTGCGAAGAATCCGCAGCTCACTCGAGCGCTTGCGTCGTTTATCGAGCGAGCCAATGGCCAGCTGCATACGAAACTGAAGGACGGACTCAGAAAATGCGAAGAGAACCACCACACGAGCTTCCACGTGGACTTTAACTCTCCCTACTTCTCAGCGACCATCCCGGAGATAACGTTAGCCTCTGGTACTGGAAAATCCGTGCCAGTATCCGGACGATCTGACACCTCTGGGATCGAATCATCCGGTCCAAAAGCCCCACTAAAGACCAACCAAGCACGACTTGGCTCTCCTCGGTCAGTTCTTGCAGGTCCTAATAGTGTCTTGATCGACTTCCAGCCGAAAGGTGCAGGGCGATACGCCTGTAAGCTGCTGCTACGCTCTCGAAACACAGTCTGTGGCAGTAGCGACGTGCGTGTGTACGACCTCGTAGCCAAAGTCAGAGAACCAAACGTCAAGACGCAGCTGGAGTTTGTGGCTCCAGCTCGCCACAGTATCGTGCAGGAGATTCCTCTCTCGAATCTGACAGACACAACGTGGTCTCTCAAGACCATTTTCAGCAATGGGAACACTGATAATCCGTCGAAAATCTCAATGTTCTCGGGCCCACCCACGCTCGTGGTTCCTGCCAAGAGATCCGCCACCTACCCTCTGACTTTCACACCGTCGTGGATGTACCATGAAACCAAGACGTTTGTGCTTCTGAATACTGCGACACAGCAACAATTCGAGTTTGATCTCAGTGGTTACGGTGAAGAACCCCTAGCGCAAGACCACGTGGTGCTTAGTTGCCAAGCTCGCACTAGCATCGAGCACAACTTTAACGTGTTCGCTCTGCCTGGAGGCGATGCAAACGCAGCTCAAGTGTTTAAAGTGGTGTCCGATCTACGATATGTAGTCGGGGCTCCTACGATCACTGTCCCTGCAGGTAGTGGCGCGAGCCGTAGTGTCAAGTATCCACTCACCTTCAGTCCGTTAGTCAGCGGCTCGTACTTTGGCTCTGTCACCTTCACGAACGAATCTACAAATGAGTATCTCTGGTACACAGTGGAGGCATCTGTGAGTCCTCCTGAGCCAGAGACAACACTCGAGATGAAGGCTGCCGTACGAGGTGCTGTGGGTATTGAGATCGGGTTGGTCAATCCCTTAGACAGCGAAACTATCTTCGCTGTTGAGCTCCATGGTCGAGGGTTATTAGGCCCTACAACTTTCACTCTAGAAGCACGACAAGCAGGCGTCTATGAGCTGGTCTACTCGCCTCTCTTACTGACGAAAGAAAATGGAGAGGAAGGCGCCATTCTCTTCTCAAGTGACGCGATCGGTCAGTTCTGGTACCGGTTGAACCTCGTAGCGGAGGCAGCGGAGATTCAAGAACTCGACGACATGGTCTGTGCTGTGGGAGACGTCTGTACACAGCCATTGTGGCTTCAAAACCCCAGCGATCAAGAGCTACAGCTTCAACATCGTATCACTAACACCCGCAACTTCTCCATCAAGGGCTCGAACAGTACCGCAACCAGCTCCGTGAAGCGAGTGGAGCTACCTCCGTTCGGTCGAGCAAGTATTGTCGTGGAGTATACACCCTCGTCACTGTCTGACTTCGAGAGTTCCAGTATCGTATTCTTTGAAAAAGACGTGGTTAGTGACTGGGAATTCACTGTTCGAGGTCGAGGGCGAGCTCCTAGTGTGATGAAGCCTCTTATAGTCACGGCTCGAGTCAACGAGGCCGCGTCGACGCTGTTTACGTTCAAAAATCCATTTGCAGCTCCACTTCGAGTCGACGTCAAGCTGGTCGCTGAGGATTTCGGGAACTCACCTCCAAGTCCCGTATTTGACTTACTCTTAAAAAAACGCCACGTACTTCTCGATAGCTTTGGCTTACTCCAAGTACCCATCTCTTTCATACCTCGAGTAGTGAGTGAAACACGAGCAGAACTTGTGGTTCACGGCGGCGACGAGTTTGCAGAACTGGAGTGGCGATATCCGTTGCGTGGTGTAGCTGAAGCTCCCCTACAACCTCGCGTCTTAGCTGTACTTGCCTGTCAAGCACGTGACTCGGTTGAGAAAAGAGTAGAATGCGAGCTTCTGGCTGCACCCGATGACATGGAGCTGGCTAACGAGACGTTCACAGTTGAGTGGGAGATCGATGCTGGTCGATTCGGGCCCATGACGACAGCCGCAGCAATCGAACGAGCCTTAACCGTGACACCCTTACCAATGTCGTCCAGTTCAGGCTCCACCCTCTTGCCGTATACGATTCGGTTCGAACCTCTGCGTCTGTATCGTGGCAATGTCGCACTGTTAGTCAAGAAGAACAGTGGCGGGCTATGGCGCTTCGACGTCTCGCTGGACGCAGGAGACCCACCTGTCGACGACGTTCTGTCTATCGAGTCGAGTTTGAACCAAACGTCGTCCGTGAGCTTCCAGCTGCGCAACCAGTTTCGACAACCAGCAGCTTTTCTTGCCGAGTTTTCCGCCGGTTCATCCAGTGCGTTCACGGTGTATCCGGCTGAAGGCGAGCTACCTTCGTACGGTAGTGAAGACGGTGCCATGTTCGTTGTATCCTTCACACCCACGGGATACGGCAAGATGCAGTCTGGCCAATTAGTGATCTGCACCGAGGAGATGCAATGGACATTCAACGTGAAAGGCGCTTACCCTGATGCCACGCCTGGGAGTAGAACCAGCGGACTCGCTAGTAGCTTGAGCTCAAGCGCCTCTCGTGCGAGGTTGGGGATCACTAACGGGGGCAGTGAGCAACGTGGAGACAGAGCTAAAGCACCACGAAAGTAAAATGACCAGACTACAATTCTTTTTTGGTTAAATATTCTTCAATCTAGAGACTGCTAAGAAATTTACCCTCGAGTTTGATCAATGCGTGTCCAAACACACTTGGCACATTCTCCAAAGTACTCACAAGCAGCAGTATCGCCGTCAGCATGTCGAGTTTGGAGTCCAGACGTACAACTAGACCACTAGTCGCATCCCGTAAGGAGCTGCACACTACAAGACGCTGGTCTAATAGGCTGACAGCCAGCGGTGGCACTTCGTCTTCGCTGACCAAGTGCTGGTAAGATTGATGCAGTATGTTCTTGGACCCACAGTCATAGTGGCAAGCAGTGAGTCTGCTGAGACCTGTTACAGTCTCTTGAGCCGAACGTTAACATCGTCATGGAACATTGACAGTAGTCTCCAGTATTCGAGGATTGCCTCGGCTCCACAAAGTGCCCCGTCCGTCACATCTACTGCCAAACTCGACTTCCTCGAGCTGTACGTGCTGCTGCGTGCTATTTGGGTTGACTTTTTTACTGACCGTATTTCGCCCTGACCGGATCTTATGAACGGAGCTTTTTTTTTGGCATTGTCTTGCATGATCTGATCTATGAACGGAGCCAATACAATTTTCGGGTTAAAGACTGAAGAAATGTACCGGATTCTATTCGGGACTACAACAAGACCATTGATCTATTTCTGTTGGATCTTGTGTCCGTACGAGGGAAGCAGGAGAACCACTTACTGTCAGACAGAATTTATCATACTCACCCAAGGTATGACACGTCAGAATACGCATGATCGACGTAAGAAAAAGCGCGTCCATAGCCATAAAGTGGGGGCTAGTACAGGTCATGGTGCCGAGCGCCTACACACTTCACCTCCTCAAGCGGCCATCAGCATCGACAGCACCACCTCTGAGGGCTATAACCAACCGCCTTCGACACAGAGTCAACCCGTCTTGCGCGTCAAGAAGAAGCGCGGCTCGAAAACGATCAAAATCTACAAGGGTTTCAAATATACGAAGTCGTGGGCGTCTGCGAAGAATTTTGTGTACCGGTGTAGTACGTACCGTACGTCACGCTGCAACGGAGTGTTAAAGATAACACCCCACGGTGAATAACGCGTGATAGGTGACCACAATTGTCGTAAAGACGTAATAGTTAACGGGTCGTTAAGGAATGAGACCGGAGCTATGAAGAAGATGACCGATCGTCTGGCAACGGAGGATCCTGGGATGCCCGAGGAAGCCATTTGGGAGCGTATTTGTTCTGAGTTCTATGGGCCCAACCGCGAGGAGCTTATCGAAGGGTTAACTGAGGAGCAAATTAAAAGCCGCGTCCGTCGGGTTCGCCGCAGATACTACGGTGGAGACATTCATGGAGTAGTTGAGGTACCGCCGTGCTCGAAGGTCAAGGACTCTGCGATCCCGTTCTTTCGTTTCCATCTCGTGACTGCCCACCCGGAACCGAATGCGCAACCCAACCGTATACTGGGGTGGGCTCACCCTGCTCTAAAGGAGCTTCTACTTTACAACAGTGTTTCAATTTTTATTGACGGTACTTTTAGATGTGTTCCAAGGGGCTTCTATCAGTGTCTGATCGTTATGGTGGATGATCCGGCTCGGAATATGTACACTCCGGTGTATTTCGTACTCTGTACATCCAAGACCGAGACAAAGTACGAGGACATCTTGCACCTAATACACCGCGACACCGGCAAAAAGTTGTCTCCAGCTGAAGTTGTCTGTGATTTCGAGTTCAGCCTAATTTCAGCCGTTTAAAGTCAATTCCCCAACGCCGAGGTGGTAGGATGCTTATTCCACTTTAAACAGGCAATACGTAGACGAATGAAGAAAGAACGTCTTACGGAAGACGATATTTTGATTGGTATGGAACCTGGTGTACTTGACATCCTAACTGTAATCGATCCTGAGCTTGTCGACCCAAAGGGTATTGGCTGGGTTAAACAAGAGATTAAACGGAAGTGTGCCGACAAAGGATGTGTGTACTCCGCCCAAGAATGACGTAGGCTCTGGCTGTACTTTCGTAAAACCTGGCTAGAACGGTATTTTATTACGGAGTGGAATGTTTTCGGCATCATGAACTCGGTAGTTGCTCGTACTAACAACCCATTGGAGAGGTTTAACCGCGAAATGAATGCAGCTTTCAAGCCCCATCCCAATCTGCGCCAGTTTGTTTCACCGATAGGCCGAATGTCAAGTGCCTACGCCAGAAAGCAGGCCAGCATCACACGAGGGCTGCGCCGGAAGAAACAGCGGTTACCTCGTATAGCACTTCCGCCGGTACCTGACTTGACTGAGTTTGAAGTGCCACCTGACTCGGACAGCAACGACGCCGGTTTTGAAGAGTCTGATGTTTCCCTTGACTCACTCTGTAGTGAAATTGATGACAACCTGGGCCTGTGTGGAGATACATCGTCGGACGAGGAGTCTATGGGTGATGCTACTGATGAGGCGCTTACAGGTGCAGTGGCCGCCATAAAAGACTCAGAGCAGAGGATCACAGAGGCTGCGAATGTGTACGACAATTCATTGGACTGGGATGGAGATCAGGAGGCTGACGAAGAGAGCAGCTCAGAAGATGACTAATGGTACGTTGCTACAGAGCAACGATGAGCTTAAACTACATGACTGTACTTTTGAACTGGTAGCTTCTTGTATACAATTAACACACCATTTTAAGATCGGATGTTTGCACTGACATGATGATTTGACCGGGAAAAACATCCGGGCATAAGGTCCGGTCACGGCCAGTAGAAAATTCTACGGCTATTTGCCGGCGTTGTTTGGGGCGACTCCGGTTTGAGCATCTGCGCCATATATCCATTGCGGAAGAGCCGAAAGTACTCGGTTGCAATGACCCAAGCACTCTAATCCGCCGGCGCATTACGAATGCCTAGTTGTCGCTGAGCTTCCAAGTGTGCAGCCTCTTTTCGCAGCTGTTGAATGCTATCATTCAAGTTGTCTATGTGTTTGCCTTGTCGCTGTCGGTATCGGGCCTGGTTCATTCTACACCGCTCCCGTCGGCCTGCAGAGACCATCACCTTCCGCCCTCTCTTGGTCCACGACGCCATCCGCGTGACGGTAAACACGTTGTTGTCGTCGAAGTGGAAGAAGGCGACGCGGCGCACAACGCTGCCTATCACAGTGTCACTGAGTGGAAATCTGTTGGGCGGGATGAGGAAATTGCTGCTCATGGTGTCGCTGAGAGTGAAGAATATATAATAGCAAGTGACAACTCAGCACTCACTCAGACCCAATTTTATCTCGATTACTGTACCATGTGCGGCTTCAAAGAACAGACTCGAGAGGGTAATTTTGTTCGGTCATCAGCGATTACGTGCAGAGGACGTTTTGTCAACTGCGATCGCGTGCAGCGATGTGCACGGCAATGAGGCCAATCGAGGACACGGATTCGGGCATATTAATACAATCTGAAGAGGACTGGTTATCCTACTGCTCGTTTTACATGGCGCCGAGCAGCTTCTTTGCTGGCCACAGGGAGTGCATGCATATGTCGTTGCTACATGTGTCCCAAACTGACCATGGTACGATAATCCTAGTTGTCAAGGGTATTTGTGTGCTGTCATCAGTGATGTCTTGCGATACTTTGAAGCCAACAGTGTTGGCTCCGGAGCATCAGGGATCGCGTGCTGAGCAGCGATGTCATCAACGATGCCATCAACGATGTCGTGAAGAAAAAAGCATAACGCCTACGAGCGTTGCCGCCAACACAACCATCTTGAACTGCAACAGCACTTCCTTCTACCAAACTTAACTTTTTCTTAGTAAAATTCTCGGTACCAATTTGATTCCCACTTTGCAGGTAGCTCCTTAACAAAATCTTAACTTTCTGCATATTTACCACGCTATTTGTATACTGTAAAACGAATTAATGTACCACGATAAGGTTTTAAGAAACCAGTACTAAAACCCAAAGTGTCTGTCTGCTATGGATAGTTAATTGCTAGCTGGCACCGAATCGAGGCCCTTATTTGCTAGAAATCTTCCATCGAGCGTCAGTAAAGCCTTGTCAAACACACGAGCAACGTCCTCGAGACTGCCCAATAATTCCAACATCGGGGTCATGAGGTCCACTGTGGACTCGAGTCGAGCCACACGACCGATTGAGGAGTCCCAGTCAAAGTGTACAGCTCCACACAAGCTCAGTCGCTGGTTTAATAGTCTGGCACCCAGGGAGGAAGGCCTACGCGGTTCATCTTCCTTCATGTCTTGGTCTAAGACCAGGTGCGGAAACAGTTGACGCAGTGAGCTCTCAGTTATAGTGACGGTTGTTTTGGTTGTAGCAAGAAGAGAACCTGTAGCGAGTTGCTCCAGACGCTTGGGGTGGAAGTGCAAATCCACTCCATTAAGCGACATCAGCCTCCAGTTTTCGAGAATCGCCTCTGCGCCGTATACATTGCCGTCCGTCACATCGGGAGCCATCGTAGCTTTCAGGAAATCGAGCTGTGCGTGTGACTCGCGTTGTGTACGGGGTGTCAGGCTAGTAGCGGCGGTCGGAGAGGTAGTGGACGCTGGAGTCATTTGCGGCGCCATGTATCCGTAACGGAACAGTCTAAAGTACTCTGTCGCCACGATCCAAACACTCTCGTTCGTGGGAGCACAGCGTAAAATGTTGTGACGCTGAGTTTCCAGCTCTTGAATCCCCTCCTGGAGTGTGCGGATACTCTCGTCCAGATTGTCGGCGTGCTGCCGCTGCCTCTTTCTGTATCTGGCCTGGTTGATCCGGCAGCGCTCACGTCGGGAGGCAGAAACCTTCATCTTGCGTCCTGAAGTTGGAGGAGTCAAATTTTCTTGGTTTGTGACGACCGGGGTCATACTGGTAGTGCGTGTGCTCACCAGATCCGCGAGAGAGTCGAGATCGGGTTGACGCGTATGCCCAATCGTGCCCCCCAAGGGAAACTTCACCATTGCGCCGGTCGAGAACGATTCCGCAGCGCCAAATGAAAAGGTTTGCCTCGGTTTAGTGTACCGAGCCAATTCCCGAGTCTCATTCTCGTCGGCAAGACCTAGATGGGTATGGTGTGGGCCCGCGCATTGGACAACACCACCGATCACTCGATCACTGAGCGTGTATCGGTCCGGGGGAGAGAGAAAACTACTAGCCATGGCTCTGCTCGATCGACTGGAGTTCTCGGGGGGAAATTTGGAAACGATACGTAGCAGCCAGTGCTCCTCAAACGCGAGAAGGCCCACTCACTCAAGCACCACTAAGACTAAAGACCAGCCTTTCAGAGTTATTTGGCGGCCAGTAATTAGCGATTACGTGCCGACGTGAACATCCGTCAACAGCGATAGCGTGCTGAAAAGCCCGGTTTCCGGATTCTATGCAGGTGCAGCAGCGATACAGTCAACAGGTGGAACGTGAACTCACGCTTCAAGACTTTTGACGCTGCGTTTGCTGCCTAAAATCTGCTCAAATTAAGCATCCCTTGAGTGGTTGTTTTGCTTGTTGTATTAGTAGCCACCCTGCAAAGGGCGATGGTAGTATTTTAGTCGAGCACAAGGCCGCAAGTCTGACGAAGTTCTGCATACTAAATGTACTTAATTTAAGTAAAGACCATTGGTACGGTTCACCAAGTGTCACGTCATAGCGATTGTACCCCAGGCACGTTATCTCTGCCGACGATTTCGTAGAGCTTAATACTGGCTCTCTGGATGTGCACTTGGCACTACGCGATCTTTGATGTCTTGCCCACACTCGCATGCAATCATGTTGTGCGTGAAGGACAGAATGAAGGTCCGAGACAACCAGTCTAAAGCACACCAAGGTTGAAGATACAGACTGGGTACCGAACTCACAGTGACGCTGACATGAGAAATGCTGCTGAGGATCTGTGCTGTTGCTCCACCAGCGCAAAGACTTTTGTTATTGTTGTTGTTGTCTTCCAACGACTGTACGTGCGTGAACTATCCCTGGTGCCATAAGTGTTGGGGTCACACTATTGTTTGAAGCGTCAGGTGCCTGAAATCGGGGGAGCCTATTGAAATTTGCACGCAAATTATGGTGACGTTCGTGGAATATATATAATTTTAAAAGTAAACCTCATCTAATGAACCTTGAGAAATATGGTTTCCTAGTACATTCTTCTATCGAGCTGGTTTTCTAAGATTACTACGTATGGAGAAAACTTGAAATTACTCAACTTGATAGGGGAAATTTTGCATTAATGATGTTTACGAATAAAGTGGCGGTGGAAATACGAGTGATTGATTTGACGGGCCACAGCTAGAGGAAGTCGGCTTCCGAGAGTATACAAAGTCTCAGTGAACGGCAGTTCACAAGTCCTTTTTGCCTTAGGGAGCGAAGTGACCAATTCAAGGTAAGCTGTATATTTCTAGGTAGGCTAAGTTTGAGTTAAATTTACAAACTAAAAGTCACCTATAGAAAAGCAATGTCATCAGCCAATGGTTGGCCTCGGACGATCCTGGTACAATGTACCAGATATCCCGAAGTGTGACATGTCACACTCTATGTAACTATGGGTACACTTGGGGCTACGTATCCCGTTCCATCCTCCCTTACTTGTGTTCGACCGACCAATCAGACTGAGGAAGTGTACGTCACAAACTCCCGTTCTCATAGTCGAAATATTTCGACTTGGCTGCGCGAGCTTCTCAAATCTCGGCTTCTCAAATCAACGATATGACAACTTTCATCAATCTACCAGGGGCGTCGGCCAAAAAATGGCTCTGGAGCGTGCTCACTTTACAGTTAGAGCCTCGAGCAGCTTTTGAGCGAACTTCTTCTCGGTCTCCACATGTCCCATGGCGCCGCGAAGAGCGGTATGAAAACACGCTTCAAGGCAGCTGTTGGAAAGGCGCAAGCCAAGAGCACAAAGCATCATAACAAAGGCTCTGCACTCCACGAAGCTACTAAGGTGGTTTCGGAAGCGATCGACTCATCCGGTAGCGCGACTGTGGGCAAGCGTGCGAACAAGCGCCCCAGTCCGTCCCCTCGGTTTCTCCAGACAACCGGCCGAACCCACGGTTCGCTGAACGTAAGTTCGATTCGGGCAGTGAGGGCGAGGCCGAGTCCGGGAGTACTCACGATGCTCCTGTGTTTTCTGTGGGAGGACCCACTCCAGTGCCCAGCAAGCACGACGACGACAGCGTGCACTCGCTCGCTAGTGATAATAATGATCACAGTCTGTGCGCTATGAGAGTCCTGCCGTCAAGGCTAAGTGATCTCCCAAAGCTGGTGACGAGGAGGAGGAGAAACCGCTCAAGCATCTCTCGCTCGCCGAGGGCCTTGTGCGTGCTAAGGCTGACAAAGCCAAAGACGCCAAGCCCTCTAAGAAGCAGACGGCTTCGAATTATCAGCTCCGCGAGGAGAAGGAGACTGATTACTCCTATCGGAACTGCTTCGGTTCCTCGGATGAAGTGGACGAGGAGGAGGAGGAAGAGGGTACTATTACTAAGCGTCCTCAGCGTTACGGGAATTCCATGAAGACCAGCTACTGCTCCACATCCTGAACCAGCGTGATCTTCGTAGCCGGTTTGCCCACATGGTCAGCAAGCGCATGCTGCCAAGAGGCATTCTGAAGTGCGCGGCTTCTAGCGCTCACGATGAGCGCGGGTACGGAGTGTCGTCAACGTCCGTACCCCGTTCGGGCAAGAAGCCCCGGACTACTTACGAAGCTGCCGCTGCTTCTGTTCCCAGATTGCGGCAGCCGTCGGGTAGCATATCAGAAGCCGTTTAATCGGTCCCACGAGTTCTCGGAGTGGGCATAACCCTTCCATTTCATGAGGAGCTGTCGCTTACAGCGACGCCGTTGCCCCTGGAGGATCTGTTCCACGTGGTAGTGGACCTCTCCATTCCGGTCAAGCAGGGGCGGAGGTTCCCTCGTACGAGTACGAGTACTCAGAGCCTTCGGAACGCTATCTCGTCCGAGTGCTTCTCCCGCGGGTCCTGAGGTTGATCGCCTCCATCAACGTGTCCTCATGCTTGAGATTGCACTTGGCGTTGGGACTGGCGGTGATGCTGCCGCCCAGACCGGGGATCAAGCGTGCTCGATCGTCTTGCAGGCCGCCTGGACCTATTGGAGCGGGAGGGCTCGAGCCTGCATCTGCGGGTAGACTGGCGGGTCTCTTCGCCCGATCTTGACGAGATCTTCTGCATGATTCGACGTCTTGAGGCTCTGCTGCCAAGTCCGGAGCCGCATTCGGCGCACTCCCAGTCGTACGCGTATGGTGAGTACCCGACGTACTCGGCAAATGGCTCTGGGGTCCGTTCGGGCGGGTCCCTCCGGCGTACGGTCTCATCCGCAGCCTTGCTGTTCAGACCGAGACTCGGGTGCCTGCTCCAACGCCCTCGTCGATGTCTGTGGTCGGTCCTCGCTTCGAGAAGCTGGGGCAAGGTGAGGCTGCGAGTCAGCAACCCCCTGCCTATTATGATACCGCTTAAGACGTCCAACGTCGATCGTCGGGTGCGTCGTCATTGACTTGGGTAGGTCGATGGTGTACGACGCACCATGCCTGAGAGCGGTCCAATGAAGAGGTGCCTCAGCTGGTTGCTTCCGATAGAGCTTACAGTGTCTAGCGGTAGGCACCTCGTGTCTAGTCACATAATTCACCCTCCTAAAATACACTTAAGCTTCCTCTTCCATGTTTGTCAGCGTACTCATGCTGTCTGTCCTGGGCTGCTGCCATGGCATCGCGGACCTTGCTGATCACACTCAGCTTGGTATTTATAAAGGAGTCCACTTGTTTCCGCAGTGAAATCGGTCTCACATCGGAGACCTGTGAGGAAGAGCTTTCCGAGCCCCCCCCCCACTTAGAATAGAGGATGCAGTGTCTCATCGAAGAGTGAGAGGCACTCTGAGGTGGCGGAAACCATTAAGGTAGAACGGCGTGATCCCCCGTTAACGCGCGCACCGCGTTGTTGAGCGCAAACGGAACAACCGGAAGCTGGGTCGACCACGTACGTGGTGCGTCCACGGACACACTGCGCAGAGTGGCTTCGAGCACTCGATTGACGCGCTCTGTCTGGCCGTCTGTGGAGGATCCGCAGTGGATATCTTCAGACGAGTTCCTAGTAACGGGAACAGCGTTTTCCAAAACGCAGCCGTGAACCGCGACTCTCGGTCCGAGACAATCGTCTCCGGGAGACCGTGATAGCGTAACACGCCATCGACGAACAACCTCGCGGTGTGTTCGCCTGTGAAGGTAACGGGTACTGGATTAAGATGGTACATCTTGCTCAGCCGATACACGAGCACCAAAATCCCGGTGTTGTCGTGTACGTCGGCGGGAAGTCCAAAAATGAAGTTAAGCCTCACCGACTTCCAACAGTCAGCCGGAACAGCAGGCTTTGTAATGGAGCCGAAGCGTGTCCTGCGGGTTTAAACCGCTGAAGTGTTTCACATGACGGCACGCATCATGCGACCCACTTGTACACATGGGTCCACCAGAAGGCCTGAGAGACCGAAAGAAAGGTCTTCTCGCGGCCCAAGGGGCGGCAGGAGGGTGCGTCGTGCGCCTCCGCGAGGATTGCGAGCTTCATATCCTTGACATTTGGTACGACCACCCGTGGAGTCTCACTACACTTCACCCGGAACTAGACGAGGCCATCCTTCAACTCATATCGGTGGAGCCGGGAACCCTGTCGCGACGAAAGCCAGTCGGACTTCGCGCCCGTTCCTGCCGTGAGAAACTTGACGATAGGCGCGACAGCCTCATCGTCCCGATACGCCATGCGTATCCGATCATATAGATCCGCTGTCACCCGTGTGATGTGGGCCAACTCGTAGTCTAGACGC